ATTGTGTTATAATTGCCTATAGCATTCAGTACACTAACTTGCTGTACAGGCGTGTAGCCTAGGAGCAATAGGTTGTACTATACAGCCTGACATGTAATAGGCTCTACCCTCTGGGTCTGTGTAAATAAGCACACTCTACGATGTTCCTATAAGGATGAAACCACATGATGACAAAATTGCCTAATGACGTATTTCTCAGAACACATCCCCAGCAGCAAGTGATGCAAAACTGTATTTATCATTGTTCAATCTCCCCCTCTGACATTATGTAATCACAATCTTTGTCTCTTGTGAGTTTTGACTTAAAGTCTCTCATTTGGTTACCCTGCTTTCTTTGATACCAATTTCATGGAAATGTTTCTCCACTCCTTCATTTTCAGCCTCTAAGTAAATGTATCTAGAGTGAGTCTCTTTTAGACAACATACAATTTATTGCTTTTCAATCCATTCAGCCACTCTACACCTTTTGATAGACAAGTTTAGTTCATTTAATCTAAAGTAATTACTGAAAGTAAGGACTTACTCTTGCAATTTTGGGGGGGCTGTCCGTTTTGTAGTTTTCTTAGTCTTCTCTTGCTGCCTTTTATTATTGCTAGGATGACTTTCATAGTGGGATAGTGGGGTACTTTAATTCCTTTCTCCTCATCTTTTGCATATCTACTGTACCTGTGTTTTTGTGGTCATTGTGGGGTTCACATTGAACATTTCTGAGTTAAAGCAGTCTGTCTGAGCTGATAACAACTTCAGTCACGTGCAGATACTCTAACCTCTGCTCCCCCCATGCACATACTTTATGTGATGTAAGAGTTTATTTCTATAGTGCTCTATTGTGTTTCCATTAACAAACTTCTGTGGTTATAGTTATTCTTACTGTATTTGTCCTATAATTTATACAGTAATGTTAAAAATTTCATGTAATTATCATGTCACAGAGCATTCTTCTTTTGACATTTTCTCTAACCATTTAAGATTGTAAAAACCATCATTAGCTCACAAACTAAACACAGCTGGTTTCACCCTGCAGGCTATAGTCTGCAGACCTCTGCTCTATACATTTACATGTATATACTAATAAACTTTGAAACAGAACCTTTTTCTGCCTGGTTAGTTGTAATCCAAATGAAAGATTTTTTTTCCTCTTTTTTAAAAATAATATTTACATGCAACATCTTTTGATTAATTTTCAAAAACAATTTGTTAGTATTTGGGAAGATGGAATTTTGCTAGACAATTTTCTGGGAAAACCTTCATGTAACTGACACTGCAATTGGAAACTGAGTATAATGACTTACTATAGGGATAGATGTACTTCTTATACATGGATCAATGTATCTGTGAGTTAGCAGCAGCATTACATCTAATTTTAGAGACAGAGTCTCACTGTTGCCCTCAGGATGCCGTGGCGTCACAGCTCACAGCAACCTCTAGCTCTAGGGCTTAGGCAACTCTCTTGCCTCAGCCTCCCAAGTAGGGAGACACCATAACAGGCACACACCATAACACTCGGCTATTTTTTGTTGCAGTTTGGCCGGGGCTGAGTTTGAACCTGCCACCCTCGGTGTATGGGGCCAGGATCCTACTCGCTGAGCCACAGGTGTCACCCCATCTAACTTTAAATACAGAACTTAGACCAGACATACACCTGGGCCACAAATTGATAAAACTAGATTTTTCAGAAACAAATTAACATTCATTCAAATGCCTCTCACTAAGGATATGTAAAATATGTATGTGTGTATATCTTATTTATTAATGAGAATAAAATAATTTTTCATTATAAAAATTGTTCAGCATTTTTATCTCACCTTTTAAAACTTTGGTGTTTTGTAATACTTGTTATATGTTAGCATGCATGTTAGGAAATACATATAATTTATAATTATGTATATATGCACAAAGAACAGCACCTATCTCATAGGGAACACTCAATAAATATTAGGTATTTTCATCATAATGGAGTGCCTGTTAATTTTCTTTTTACTGAATAAGTACAGGATCTAGAAGTTTGGCATCCATTGATTAAGGTACCAAATGACAGTGGCTTGGACAATGATTTGCTTCATGTTCTAGAGGTAGTATCACAAGATCCTACTGATAATCTGGGTGTGGGATGAGGAAATGAGATGCCTCCATGCTGACTCCTTTTCTAAAAGTGCTTGTGATGAACAGAAAAGGCAATTTATTATTTTCATAGTACACAAAGCAGCCTTAGGACCATGCACGTGAGTACGGCATTGTTCATGGGCCTGTCTCTGCCTTACTCTTCTTCCCAGATGAAAGGGTGACTGTCTGTCCTAACTGCCTCCTCATACTGTTGAGGCATGCCACAGACACTTAAAAACTGGCTGAGAAAACTTAAAAATCATCTTAAGGTTATCTTTTTTTTCTCCACATTACTTTGTAAAGCATGCTTTCAACTTACTTCATTTTATATTATCTCAAAATTGAAGGATAAAAATATATAACTTTAGAGTTTTTGTAAGTATTTGATGCTTTTAAAACTCAACTTTGTTGCATACAAAGTATAACTACATTCAAGATTATTCATCATACATAATAATAAACTACTAATTTGAATTTACAACGTGTGTTTACCAAGTGTGCAAATTGAGTTTATTCAGAATAATCTTTAATTCTCAAAAATTATACATCCATGTACACATAAAAAAGGTAAGAAAAATATCTTACATTGTTTACAACAATGGTAAACAGATCATAAAGGCATAACTAGGACCACAGAAAAACTTTTATCACTTTTCCCACAATTCATAAATGATCTGTTTGAGCACAACTTTCTTCATTACTGATTGTGTGTAATCAAGGTACTTTCTTTCCCCGATAGCTTCACAGGGTCAAGGCTATTAGCTACCGGTGGGTTATGGATAGGTCAGAGACCAAAAACCCGTATTTTTTCATTTATTTTTCCACTAATTTCACAAACTACATTTCTGGCTCTTCTTGCCAGACTTTCTTTCTGTTTATTCTCCTTCTCCTTCATCTAACAGACAGAGATACGTGTGCAGATGGCTGAAACTAAGCAGGGCTAAAATTAAATGGAAGCAGACAGAAAATCAAAATTAACATAAGCAGCTCAATGTATTTTTGTCTTACCTAATATCCATACCATTACAAAATTTTCTTGTAGCTACACAATACTGGAAAAAAAATCTCATGTTTCTGTATATTCTTTCACATACAGAAATGTAACAAGTCACATAGCTCTTATTCTAGATCTTTAACTTCCCACTCTTTCCATCCTTAAATTTATTTTCCTCTCATATTTGCTGACCAGCTAACAAAAGGAATAAAGTTTAAAAAGTTCATAAGAAAATGATCCAGGAACGCGAGCAAAGGGGATGGTGCAGAGACCTCATGGAAAGTCCCATGTGTCTAAAGATGTTCTTTGCAATGCTACCTGTGATGATAAAAACAGGGGAACATGCACATGATATGACTACCATTAGTGACTCACATGATGTGACTACCATTAGTGACTCACATGATATGACTACCATTAGTGACTTAGTAGTAACACTGGAAGTGTCATTTGAAAAAAATACAAAACTGTTAGCACTGCAATAACGTAAGAAAATATGCATGCCTCTAAGACTAGATGTTGCATAAATAAAAATAAAAAAGTAGTTGAAATACTTCCCTTAAAACTTTTTATTATAATAAAAATTTTAAGAATAAATCTTTGGGAAAAAGTATATATTGCCAAGTAATAATGGCATTAGCTTTTGTTAAGGAACTTCTAAAGACTCAAAATCTTAATCCAAAGAAGATACTTAAAGCAATGATTTTTAACCATGAATGGGCTATCCTTTCCCTTGCCATCCAAAATATTTGTAAATTGTCAAAATGATTAGTATTATTAGCACTTCTGGGGCAAAGTCTTACATGGTGGCTACTTTTATGTGCCAACCTGACTGAATCATAGGGTGCCTAAATATTTGGTCAAAATCATATTGGGTGTTTCTGGATGAGACTGACATTTAAATCAGTAGACTGAGTAAAGCAGACTGCCCTCTGCAACGTGCACCTGAAAATCTGAAAAGGCTGACCCTCCCTCAAGTAACAAAATTCTTTCTGCCTCAGATTCAAACTAAAACATCAGCTCTCTTGGTTTCCAGGCTTTAGAGTCAGACTGGAACTATACCACAGGCCCACCCGCCCACTGACCCCCCTGCAGCTCCTGGAATCCCACCTGCTGACCC